CTCAAAACCAGAATTTGCAAATGCGCTTTATTTACCCCTAAAACAGGGTGAAAATTCTTAATGAATCACCTGTACGACCAGATTGTATTTTATTTCGAACAAAACGTCGTGTTTTATAATAAAAATAATATCGTTGCTTTTCGCGTTAAGTTTTGTTTTTTTTTTCACTTTTTAATGACGTTTAACGATGATGTCTTGGCGTATTATAATAACCACAGTACGTAACTGTATCGATACGAAATATCACGCCGTCTCGCGCGCACATATGTTTAGATAATGTCGTTTTTAAACCAATTCGCATGGATTGTTTTGGGTGCCGATATTGACGTGTGATGAAGTGACGGGAGTTTTAAATACTCGTTATAAACGTTTAAAAATTATATTCAAATAACCCACGTGTTCCGAAGAGTGGAGAAATTTATGTATACGGCATCCAACGAAGATATACCCCCTTTCTCCGAAAATAATAAAGATAGTCGAATTTTGTTTTTTTTTTTTATAGATTATGAGTGTAACGAAGAATTTATTGATTTTACAAATATCTTTATTTTTTATTTTTTTATGTGAACACTTTTTCTACCGAAAAGCTAACTCCGAGGTACACGATGCAGACTTTTCTGAAAGAAAATTTTCTTGGGATGGTCCTTTAAGGAGGTCTATTTTTTGATTTTCTCAGAAATTTTTTTATCAAATGTGAAAAACAGGGAAAAACGGGAGAGTCGGTACAATATCAAAACAAAAAATAATGTCTATTTAATTATTTTACCATAATATGACACATATATTGTTGACAAAACATTACTATCAACGGAACTTCGCTTAGAATCGTTTTTAGTAAGCAATGCTTTATCGTTTCTTACAGATGCAAATTAATTTTCTCTCTAAATCCTATATCTTCCCAACTTTTCACCAACAACAGTAGTTACACCCATTGTGCGAAGTATGTCAGCCTTCAAATGAGAAGATGCTATTTTGTAGTTTCAGATTTTTCTGAACACTTTGACATTTCAATTTTTTATTCTCAATAAATTCAGTATTCTCATATTGAGGAAAAAAAGTATACAGTCAATATAAGTGATAATAATAACAATTATGTCATACTAATTATTATTCCGATTACCTATAATTATGCACCGGGTTGTATTTGCATTTGCAAATTGACAATTATAAATAATTATTACTATTATTATGGGTAATTGACTGTACACATTTTTTCTCTAGATTTTGAAACATTATTGAAAACCACGAATTTATCGAAACTAAAAAGTCCTAATTTTAAGAAGAATATAAAATGGTTATCTGAAAATTTTTCCAAAATAATAAAATACTAAGTTATTTTCTTAATTTTCTTAAAACCAAAACATAAATATTCAATTAAAATATAACACAGTTGTAGTCATTATCCCCGTGAGAAATATAAAAATATATTCCGAATCTTAAAACAAATTTTGCTTATCTTTATTATCTCAAGAAATATTTCAATGGGTATATCTTCGTGATACTATCTGTAATTGCTATTCATTCTGAAAATATAAACAGTTCCTATTACTTTTGGATAAAGAAATAACATTTTTTTTTCAAAAATTATTTCCTTCTAAAATAATTATTAATAAGGTTAAATTTATAATTAACTAATATTGTAGGATATCAGATATTTACAAAAAAAAAAAAAAAAATAAAAAAAATTTTTTAAAATAAACGAAAAATCCGTTTTAAACGCACTTAAAACATACACATTTGTTAACAATTAAAAATATGTTTTAAATTTTTTTTTACAACCCAGGACGTGTTTTTTTAACCTTCCAAATTAACCACACCATAATATTAATATGTTCAAAATACGTGTATCCTCCCCCCCCTTTCCGGTTAATGATGCCTACATAACTTGAAACATTTTTTTTTAGATTTCTGACAGTTAACAGTACTAGTAACAATTTAAAAAAAACAACTCACGGCAAGCTACGATACATCGAATTTATTTTTATTGATTTTTGCGTTACTTTGGCTACAAACAGGGGAAAAACACGAATAATATTATTATTACTATTATAATCTTGTCGTTTACCGAACTCCCGTTTAAAACAAAAACTAAATTATCCCATATGTATACATCATCCCAACTTCTCACCTACAACAGAGAATCAGAGGCCTACACACCGTGTAAAATATGTTCAGTTATTTCTAATATAATATATTATAATATTTTATACAGACGCTTTTATTCATTCGGCCGAAAAGATATAAAAGATAGACTGCAGCCGTAGCAATTACCGTTTTTGCTTTTGCTTTTTGTTTTTTTTTTTCATATATTTGAAATTCGGGAGCTGGAAACCATTATTGCAGTTTTTACGCACACTTTTTATATTTCCGAGAAAATCTTTTTTTGAAGAGCCGGGTAAAATATTCAAAACGATTTTTATCCGACGCACTTCAGTGCATTTTTTCGCGGATGATTGAACGCGGAATGTTACCTACTTATTTTATTTGTTTTAAAGAGGTCGCCCTTTCGAATATTTTTAAAATCGCGGAAAACCGATATGGAGAGAAAAAATGGCGTGAACAAATTCAAATGAGCGTTGAAAAAATGTTAATTCTGACCTCTATAAACTCGGAATATTATTATTTTCGAACGTATATAATTATGATGTATCGCTAATTTCGCGGCAGTTATTAAAAAATAATTATTTCTACCCATTTATTATACCGGGTGCTCTCCCGTTCTGAATATTTAATATTTTGTTTTCAGAATGGCCTACTTTATTTAATAACGTATATATTTATTTAATAATATTTTCAGAGTTGGACGAGTATACTCGATCAGTGGCGTAGTAAGGATTTATCGATGATGATGAGGTATCTAAGGTTTTTAGGGGATCGACAACATTCTTAATCGTACATATGGCTAGGGAAAAAATGCAATATGAAGACGGTTACAACACTCAACCCATTCCCACTGGCCACATCATTTTACTCGGCTGTTATATTCAAACAAATTTAATTGTCAACTAGGTAAAATCATCTTCATTCCCGTGTATTTTCAACAAGATAACCACGTTGAATTTAAAAAAATATATTGTTATTGCGATACTATATACAGTGTTACCTTAAAGACATTTATGTTTACTTTGGTGTCGGTCGAATAGTCACATTTTTGATACTCGACTTTTGAATTTTGTGCCATTTCAAAAACAAAAATCTTTCCCAACTCTATATATTATTTTAAATAATAATAAAACCGTACTTTTAAATTCATCATTAAACGATACTATTTATTATTTAAAACGCGATTTATGACGAAAGACGTGAATTTCGCTTCACGTATAAAACAATAGGTACAATACCTAAATTTACCGCATTTGACGGCATTACGAAAATAAAAACACACGGACAACGGAAATTAGCATAGAGATTTCGGTATACTCGATGCGTTTAGTGTGTATTTTTTTCTTTTTATACGCAGTGGTCATCGATGTGACAATATTTTACTTTGAGTGACTCCCGAATAAAACTGTAAACGAAAAATAACAATAAAAAAAAATTGTTCTAGGATAATGGAGACGGATGCTACCACTGTTGTTAGTGAAAAGTTGAGAATGTAGGATATAAAGGAGAAACTAATTTTTATTTGTAAGCATCAAAAACCATTGATTGCTAAAAACGATTCTGAGCGGAGTTCAGTTGATACTAATACTTTGTAATTGATATAGTACTGATTTTCCCATTTTTCTTACGTTATTCCCAGTTTTCCCACGATTTCACTGTTTTTCACATCTTATGAAAAAATTATCTTATGGAAAAATCGAAAAATTACCTCTTTCAAGTACCAACCCAAGAAAATTTCGTTTCAGAAAAAAAGCTTTATCGTATACATTGGAGCTAGATTTCTGATAGAATTTTTATGCACAGTAAAAAAAAAAATAAAAATAAAAATAAAAATCTTTGTAAAATCAGTAGATACTTTGCTTCACCTAGAATTTAAAATTGTTCATTATTCGATTTGATTAAATACTATTGTGTCTAATATATACCGGCGTCTCACGAAAATATACCCATTGTAATAACCCTGGTTATAATAATGATAAACAAAATCTGTATTTATTTTTTTTTTGTTATTACTCACAGGGATAAAGACTAAAAATATTTATACTTAAATTATAGTTTATTATGGTGGCCTGGTTCCGTCTACGTATCTTCTCCGCATTATATCCTCTAACCGTCAAAGTCTAACGTATCATTGTCCGCGTTAAATATTTCCGATTTTCTCCGCGTCTCTTATTTGATTCCGTCCAACCCGCAACCGCATTACCACCGGTCCGTCACCAAACTAAATCATACGGTCGTCGCTCTAATTCTGTCTTTCTGTTTTCCGTTTCGCATTGCAGGACACGTCCAAACCATTCCGAGGTCCCTCCGATAAAATCCGTCATGTGCGGTAATTCCATTACGTCTCTTTGAAACGTCAAAAACCGCACCACATATTATTATATTGATCTTGGTAAATACTTTTTTTTCTTTTCGAACGCGATTAGGTTCTTCTATAAACCTTCTTTCGGTTTTTTTCGGTGACCTCGCGCGCGTATCCTCGCCATACAAACAATAACAAAACAATATAATTACCTATCTCCTCCCGCAAAAACGCCGCGCTCTTAAACGGCTTCGCGACCCGAACCGTTTTCAAAATACAATAATAACAACACGTCGATAAAACGTTATTGTTTTCGTCGATATTTCACGAAAATAAGTTTTCTAATTAAATATCCCGTATACGTGCGTTCGGTACCCACGTGTATTATATTGTACGGGTACGAATACAGAATAATAACGCGACGTGTACAATTACGTTTGGGGCGAGTTTCGCGGAGCAAAATTTATAGCCTCGACCGGGCTCGCGGATCGCCGAATACCCGTAACGTTTTCGCGATACAGTAATTACAATAACAATAATAATGTTATCGCTGATATTAAAAACAATCGCATACGGTATTTATATGGTTACCATTATGTTACAGATGACCGGCGGCGGCGGCGGTGGAGTTACCGGACGACGGCGCAGCCATTCAGACGCCTGCGAGAAACACGACCCTTGTCAACACGGCGGAATTTGTATTTCCACGGACGACGGACCGAAATGCCAGTGCCGCGATAAGAATTTCGAAGGGGCCCACTGCGAAATCGGTAATTTCATTAATATATAATCGTTGCATATAATTCGAAACGGCCCGGTCAAATTCGATCGTTTTACCCCGCCCCGAAAATTTATTGATACCAATCGACGTTTCTCGGGGATGGCTTTATCGGGAAAGTCGAATCTTGGAACTGTTAAAATTCAAAAACGATATTTTACAGGAACGTAGTCAATGTCCGGGAACAATTCGCCTCAGGAACGAATAATTTCAGGAAAAACAAATTTAGGGAATGAGATGTGAAATAAGAAATTCAAATCGGGCGCGTAGTTGAAAACGATTTAGCGATTCCCCGCTTTCTAAACAACCGATTGAATCCGTGTTCTGATCCATTCTTTCTTTTGACAACGAATTATTTTTTACTATACCAAACGAACGACGAGAAACCGATTTGAATTGCCTAATTAGAATTTTGTCTGTAATTTTATGTTCCTCTATTCAAAATCGTTTTACCCCCTGATTTTTACGTGCTTTCTTGTCCGTTTCTTACTATCAAGAACTGTGTACAGCTGTTCTTGTAGTGTCTTTTACATGGTGCATTTCTAACGTATATTTATCAAGTTTTGTATACAATACAAACATGATTTTATAGTGTTTTATTAAACAAAACTCAAAAGAAGTAAGACTAAGCATATTAGCCAAAGCTCATACAGAAATTGCTTGTTTTATTTTTATTACTATATTGTATATTAACATAACTGAGAGAAATATTGACTACCACCGCTCGAAAAATATGGTCTAGTTGTGACCAGGATTAAACCTCATGTTCGGCCTTTTTCCCGTGTTATTTAACTAATCATTTTTGTCTCGAATACATATTTTTTTTTGTTTTATGTTACATACGACGATTATGTAAAATATGATAATCATATGTAACCTTCGTATTGTACATAATTACATATTTTTCGCATAATTTTTTCATCTCGTTTGTTACGTACTTTGTTGCTAGTACACTGTACATATAATTTACCATCACGAACTCGAAACCCGATTGTCTGCGAAGATTTCGATTTTTTCTCCAATAGCTCAAAAGCTTAAGAGCCTTGTCTGTCAACACAAATACCGTCCGTTCGTCTCTATCATCTGTGTTTAATACATTTTTCTCAATCATTTATATTTTTCATTTTCTCCAATAAAGCCGCTTCAAAAAAATAAAAAAAATAAAACAACTAATAATCCCTAAAACATTAATCCCATTAATAAATTTTACATTTGTCTAAAGCTCGTTATAATCTAGGGATGTTAATATTTCGTTTAGAGCCCTTTTCAAATTGTACTCAATGTCGATAAAAAATGAAATCTGTCAATCATCCATTAGATTATTTGCCATCCGTGAATTGATAATGCGTCGTTAAATAAACGACGTATTATCTATACGATATAATACTAATATTTTACAAGTATTTTGAGAGACCATAACGTTTTTTAAAAGTGACCATGCGAAGAAAAACATAATTTGAAATAGAAACTGTTTTTATTGTGAATGGAAATACAGCCAAACTTGTATTTAACAAACTTGATAGTTTTTTTAATAAAAAAAATTCATTAAATAGCAATTTTGTTAAAAATATAATAATCTTTTTCTTTAACTTAAAAAACCAATTTTCACTGTAAGAAATGTACTTTGTAATAATATATTATGCGTATGCATAATAGTTATTAATCAATTAACTAAAATAATAAAAAATACAAAAATGATAGCAAGTTTACTTAAACACTTAACTTAATAACATTTTAGATACTGAGTGAAGCGAAGAAGTTTATAGTTTTACAAAGGCGTTTATTTTTTTTTTTTTAATCTGTGCGCAACTTTTCTACCAGAAAACTTGCTCGGAGTTCTACGTGTAGCACCTTTCCTGAAAGAAAATCAGCGTGAGAAGGTACTTTCAGGAAGTAATTATTCAATTTATTTAAGAGTTTTCTCATAAAATTTGAAAAACCGAGATAAAACACGAGAAAACTGGGAAAATTAGTACAACATTAAACAAATTTTATCAAAGAAAATATATAAAGCATATTTAATTATTTTACTACAAAATGACATATATATATATTGTTGACAATGGATCATTATAAACTGAACTCCACTCAGAATCGTTCTTTCGTAAGCAATGGTTTATTGTTGCTTACAGATATGCATTAAATTCCTGTCCTTCCCGACTTCCCACCTACACAAGTGGCTACATCCGTCCCTATTTTCCTACCTTTCTTTCTTTTGAAAAACTTTCCGATATTCTGTTGAACTACTTACATACCATTCTGACTATGAACATTTTCGCACTTATTTAATGAATTAATTACGTCTTCAGGAAAATTTTTGGTTTCCACGGCGAATAATGTCTATAGCAACCATAACTTTGTTTGTGTTTGGACAAGAGAAATCTATAGGTTAATCTATGTTTTTTTGTCCTATGCTATTTCCATCATCGTTTTTTACTTACATAATTTTATAATCTGTTGGATTTCTTAAAATTCACATAATGGTATTTTTTTAATAATAATACCTCCTACCTGCAACTGATTCCTACATTATTTAATCGCATTTATTGTTTCTCATTTTTCTTGATCGGCTTACCTGAGAATCCTGCTTTTGTGAAATAATTTTGAATTGTTACTTCCGAAACTTTGTTTTACCACACTTTTGAAAGCATTGATAATAATAATCTTAGGTAATAACATTCAACGAGGTTTAATAGCCTACGATCTTGAAAGTGTATACTTTATAAATAACAATAGCTTTTAAAACTTGTTGAAGAAAACTGACACAAATGACAAAACTAATTCGTTAAATTGAGGTTCGGCTGTATTTTAATATTCCCGTATTATTTCTTATTTTTTTATAAAAAGGTATTAATTTTACAAAAATATAATAGAATAATTTTTTTTTAGGAAATAATTACCCACACAATAACAGTTTTTTTTCGTAGGTGTCTATCGAATACAGAAAATTAGATAAAACCTAGAAAAAGTTATTTACATAATAGACAGACATCGATATGCTTTCCTCGGCTTCACCAAAAGGGATTAAATCTTTTAAAAAAATAAATATATCCAAAGAATTTTTTTTTTCAAGAAATCACGAAGTGCTTCAATAATGAATCTATACAATTGTTCGTCAAACACAAATCGAAATAGGTAAAATACGACGATTAATTATGTTTGATCGAGCTGAAACTTAACAGACGTTATTTATTATAGAAGTATTGAAAACAATTCCCAGCCTGTACTTCTGAATGTTCGACAAAAAAATATGTTTTTCTTGTATATCATAGATATGCGGCGACCTAGTCTACGAATTCTGTACAGCCACTCCTGTGTCACCTTCTTTTATTTTCCCCCGCGTTTTATTTAAAATATTTTCGAAATTTCACCGTTGTTCTGTATTTTGCGTTTGATTTACAAAACATTTAGCGAGCCACACTGTTTTCGAAATTCGCAACCCGGAAAAAACCCAACGTTTTTATAATATATGGCGGAAAAAATGTCTGAAATCTCGAATTACTATTATACGCGGTTGAACGTATTTATATAACAAACTAATGTACTCGAAGTTTTCATAGCTGCGGATTCGCGATAAAAGAATTGCCCTGATGTATATTATAACCCCCAGAGTGGCGGTTGGGGTTATCGCGTTTATTGGGTTATTCGCGCACGTTCGCCATTTTAGCACATTTTTAAAAAGAGAGTATCGCGGCGCATAGGTTTATTTATTAATGTACGTGTATAAAGGTCGGGTACGTATATTATTATGTATAGGTATACGTGGGTTGGCCGTTTTGAAACGTGCTCGGAAATTGTATAAAACTCGACGAAATAACTTTGGCGCCGTATCGCGGAGCATATTGAACGGAGACGAACGATATCCTGAAATACAGTTTCGGGATGTAGTCAATTTACACCAAAATTGACCCTAAATATATACATCAATTGTAATTAGCACCAAAATTTAAATCGATTATTCTTTCGATGGTATCTATGTACAATTTCGATATTAGAGTATAACATATTGAGAAGCTCAAGACACAAAATCTTCCGTTTCGATTTTGAGTGGTTATTTCCCTTACCTATTTACACCATTTTACGGTAAATGACTTAAAAACTACCTTATAACAATAATATATGACAGATACATTATATAATATTATAATAATTTTATTAGTTTAGACAAAAATATAATTTAGTATTTGTGTGCTACAAATGAAAAGTCGAAAATAATTAAATTAATATATGGTCGAAATAATTAATTATGCGATTACGACGGATAATCGAACGTGAAATGTTGAAATGATTACTGGATAAGTTGGCGGGTAGTCAGGAATCCAGAAAATAAAATTTATATATTTTATCGTTTTAATTGAGAAAATGAAATAATATAAAAATGTATGAAATTTTGAATCGATCAAATAATGTAATAATAATGTTTTATAAAATTAATGTGTATTGAAAAAAATGCATTCTTTAGAAACAGAATATTGAAAAAATAAACTTATCTCAAAGCAAACAAAGATTTTTGGATTTTTAAAAATAGTAATATAAGTCAGCTAAAATTGTCTATTATACCACTGTGGGTGAATCAAATAGGCACTTGACCATCGAATATATAGGTACTCATTTTAGTGCAAATTACAAACACTATTTCCGGTTACCTGTAGTGGTGCAAATTACAAATCCCCCAGTCTCGGCCTCGGTACAAAAGTTATCGAAAAGTTGATACGGTCGTTTTGAACGTGAAATATTAGTACGGTCGTTAAAAATCACAGTTTCTTAAATTGTATAAGAAAAAAAGCCGGACATACTTCGCACGATGGGTGGGTGAGGGAAATTAGGAAAACAGAATATGTATAGGGGAGATTTATTATCTATATATTGGTACGTAACGGATGATCATTTCTAACCAAAACCGATTCCGATTGGAGTTCGGTTATACATGTTTTAAAAAACCGTAATATTTACGATTAAAATGATACATTTCGTAAATTTTCTCGGTTTTCCTGCTTTAATTCCCATGAAAACCCCTTATAAAATCAAAAAATGACTTCCTTAAAGTATCACCTCGAGAAAATTCCCTTTCAGAAAAGATGGTACAACTTGATTCTTCGAAGCAATATTTCTGGTAAAATTTTTATACGTAGTATAAAAAAATTCATAATTATTAAACCAATGTATTTTTCATTCCGTTCAGAATCTAAACCATAAAGTGTCTACGCTACATGGTATTTTATCTAGTCTAAGGAACCTTATTATTATTATTTCTGATAATGCTCGGGCTTATAAAAACTAATAATCTTCTTGAATCCAATCTACAACAACGATTGAAGATATTGTATAGGTTTTGTACGACCAGCTGCTTAGCTAACTTCCGACTTCGAGTTTGGTTCAGGCATATATATTTGGTTCATTCCCACGTCGCTGACTCCCACTTTGCCGACATTTTATTTCGCCGACAAAATTTTATTTTGTTAATATTTACCTGTGACGTACGTTGCTAGAAGTACACCTACTCATGACTCCATCCTACTATAGCTCATGTCAAAACAACTCGTTTTCGCTTTCGTTTTTGCAGAGATTACACTAGTTTTCTTAAGTTGTCACTGTACTAAACTTAAAATATTAAAATAATAAAAATAATTATCTTGAACATCTATCTAATAGTTGATTACATATTTTTATTGTTAACAGTTTTTGTATTTTCGATAATACTTAATTTATATTTTTACTAACGTTCATGTCGCGATTGCAGCGCTGGAATTTCTTTAGTAATAATAATTTCATTGCCACAATATTATTTCAATTCAAAATTTTAATATAAACAATTTATTTGTCGGCGAAACGGGAAGATTTCTAATACCTCATAAGACCGGTTCATTTATCGGCAAAATGGGAGTCGGCAATGTGAGAATACGTGATTTATTTAGGCATATTTTATGCTCGTTATATTTCCCTATTTCGAAAACACTTCCGAAACTGTGTGTCGTTCGAGAACATTTTGTGGAAGGAAAATTTAAATCCATAATTTAATAATATTACTAAATACCTATCGCTACAAAACGTTTCAATTATAACTCATACCATAATATGTCTAATAACAACTTCGGCTTGGACACATTCTGGTCGATAGCTAATATTTAACAAGTGTTTAGCCTACAATGGTTAATTTGTCTGTCGACAACCGCTGTTTTCTCGTTATTAGCGATTGTTATTACCGATATACTACTGTCAAATAACACCAGCTTGACCAAACTCGACCTGATTCGAGGAGATAATTGATAAATGAAAATAATTGAAAAATAATCGTTGCAACAAGATAGGCGTATAAATATATTAAATTTCGGTTTCACATTAACTGTCTATGACGTGATTATATCGCTAAATTATCGTGATAAAACCAAGGAAAACAATTTTTTTTTTTTTATTTTTGTAAAATTTATTACAAAACGGTCTCGTACCCATATTGTTCTGAAAATTCCGCGAAATCTTCCGCGTCTATGCGTTTTAAATAACGCAATTTAAGGAATTCGCCCGCAAACGACGACGACGCCAGTATTTTAATCTGGAACGTTAATGCCCATTTTGGATTGGGCGCCCACGCGGGAGAGGGGCGAACGAGGAGCGGCGACTTAATCATTAATAACAGTAACTCGTATATTAATTATGCACACTGTACGGCGAGACGCGTCGCGTTAATTCGCCTACGCGTGTTATCGGCTGTCGTATCATATTTTGTTCGCGCGAGTATATAATTTAATGCATAAACACCTACCTGAACCAATATATTCGCGAGCTTAAATTCGTGAGTCTATACGAAAATATGTAACACGTAATAATACCGCGCGTTAATTTCTTTCACGGGGGGTCTAATCCGACGATATTACGCCGTCGTCGTCGAGAACAATTTATCTTCGAGATGTCACGATAATATCGGGTATTATGCAGATATGGCCGAATAATATTTTATTCGGATAAAACGCGAAATTAAATAGGACCGGTGAAAATAATATACAGTTTTAGATTCTAAGCGGAGCAAGGAATACATATTGATTTCACAATGATGTTTATTTTTTTTCTATACGGGAATCCGATTGGCGTAGTACTTTAAAGAGGTCAAGCCATTTTTGATTTTCCCTGTAGTTTTCCCAATGAATTGGAGAAAAGAACGAGTAGTTTACGAAAATAGTACTTTTATTATTTTTCAATTTTGTTATTTGTTGTAACACAGTTAAAAATATTCGTAGAAACTTAAAATTCGAACAGAAAACTTATATTTGTTTTTTCTAGAGGTGGTTATATTTTCAAATATTTTAAGCCTGTTTAAGAATTTTTTTTAAATTTTGTCTCCATGGTAATTAAAGTAGGTGAATTATCAAGCGGTTTTCATAATATTTGGGAAAAACCAGGATAAAATATCGGAAAAACGAAAATGTACAAAATTTAGGTGTTATTAAAAAAATATTATGGCTTTTTTTTTTCTGTGTACAACTATTCTACTGGTAATTTTCCTCTAATTTACAATGATAGATATTTTTCTGAAAGAAAATCTCACTGGAAAGGTACTTTATTGAGGTCATTTTTCGATTTTTCGAAGAGTTTTCCCAGCAAATGTGAAAAACCGGGAAAATCGGTACAATATTAAACATATATAATATATAAATGTACAATGCTTATTTAATTATGTTACCATAATATGGACATATATATATTGTTGACAAAGCATCACTATCAACTTACCTGTATTCAGAATCGTTTTTTTTGTTAACAATAATTTATCGTTGCTAACAGATATACATTAAATGACCTATAACAGTGGCTGCACCCGTTGTTATTATCCAAGGACTTATTTTTTTTTTCAAAATCTTAGACTTCAATTTCTTCACAATTTTCATAGCGTTTCCCGGTGGGTGGAACACCATTCCGTACGGTCCTTATCAGCAAACGGAATCGCGCACATTTTAAGGCACACGATTACGTGTAATATTACGTAGGTATTTGACTCATTTATTTAGTTTTAATGTTTTATGTAAATAATTCCTAATATAGTAACATTTATATAATGTACAACAACGATGCAATCTAATAGTAAAACTAATAGCTATTCTGAGTACGACTTGATACCTAAAAAACTGATAACGGATGACGGTATGACGATGAAACGGTTTAATTTTTATTTCCGAGTTACCTTGACTATACACGAGAAAAAATACACAACTATAACCGTACAAGTTTAACGAGTTTAAAGAACTCCACTCAGAACTGTTTTTTTTTTTTTTTTTATTGACTTATTTTATCCTGCATTTTAAAATCATTATAATAAAAATAAGTTTTCAATTTTATTTGTCGACCCTCGCTTGCTATTAATGACTACAGTACGTCAGCACGTACGTTGTATCGTTTGATATTCGCATATGAATATATATATATCGTCAAACGAAATTCACCTTCGGCCCCATTGCGGATTTTCCATAAATCATCGTAATTCACGAAAATAACACGTGCAAAACGATTTGAAACTTTGAGTTATCCGCGCGACACATACGTTGTTTGAAAAACCGTCGAGTTCGGATTATCCCGGTTCGACCGTAAATAGCTGTCCAGGTAGGTTAAGTTAGGTGTACACCATCACAGTATTGAAGGGGAGAAATTTAAAACAAATTAAAACTCGTCACCCTTTACTTTCCCGTGACTGCCCGTTTCCACTTGCGTCTCTATCGCAGTTAATCACGTTGTTGCACGGTAATTTATTTTTTTAATAAAGGTACTTATTTTTGACCATGACAACCAAATTAACCGACAATAATTGGTTTCTTTTTTTCGCTAGTGTCATTGAGGTAATCCTTAAGTCTACGAAAAAATTGTTCAATTATTACTGTTCGGAAAATACCGAAAACTCCCGTGCCAGCGACACTTTAGAGATAGAATTTTGGGAATCCGCGGCCTCGGGGCACACATCACGGGACTCCTTCAACTGATTTCTTTTTAAATATATGCATGCAACAGACTGTGGATCCCGCCCAGAACAATACTTTCGTTATTTGTTTTGTTTTTGTTGCTATATTTTTTTTTTCCAATATAAAACCCTTTTGAAGTATACAATTTTTATTTTTCCATCGTTAATTTCGATATTATTTTTTAAATTTCATAATTTAACGGTTCCCCTTTTCTTTCCCGTACCTTTAGTTATGGGATTTTTCCATAGTGGAAAGCCAATGCATAAACCGCGTTTCATGGGGGTGGTCTCATTAAAAAAGTCGAGAAACATCGTCTTATACGGTAATGAATTTTCGGAATTAGATTTTTAGTGAATGATTAATTATAGACTCTAAAAAATATCTCCGTTAATTTTCGATCCATTCAGTTTACATACACATATTATTTTATAACACAAGTTTCCCTTGCAGCGTCCAAACGCACTGCTAGTCTGAAACTCTGGACTAGTGCTGCGTATAAACGTTCTGCGTTTATACATTAAAAATGTGTATTTTCTCCAACCAAGAATGAAATGTTGATTTTATTTTATTAATTGAATAGTATTTTAAATACTGTTTTTCCGTTTTTGTATTCATACTTAAGTGACGTTACAATTTTAATTAGTATAGTCTCGCAATTATAAACATATTTCATCAAAACCCCGATAGCTATGAGCTCTTCACAAATAACATTATTGTTATTTAAAATTAACTGTCTTTGTATCATGATGTAGATATTTGCAAAGTAAATAAAAAAAAACACCTATGCATTAGATCACAGTTGTGCAAACACTAAAATTTCAGTGAACGCTATTTAATCGAAAACACAAAAACGACTGCATCAAAACGTATGCAGGGAAAACGTACCTTATTTACGCTACTTCAATCGATCGTATCGATTAACCAATATAATACGTAAAGTTAACGTAAAATAAATGCCAAAATATACGCGTTAATTTTTAATTTTTAGACTATGAGTGTAGCAAACATGTATTAGTTTTACAAAGATGTTTATTATTATTATTTTTTTTATGTAAACACTTTTTATACCAGTAAGTTTACTCCGATGTATATGACGTAGACTCTTTCCTAAAAGGAAATTTCGATTTTCTCAGAAGTTTTCACATCAAATGGGAAAACCCAAAAAACGGAGGGAAAACGGGAAAATGTACGAAATACAGTAGTAATATATTACGATTTTTCTTTTCTATGGACAACTTATCTACCAGCAGTTTTGCTCCGATTTAAAATCATAGTACTTTTTCTGGAAGAAAAGCTGACTGGGGAGGTACTTTATGAAGGTCATTTTTCGATTTTCCTAGCAAATGTGAAAAATCGAGAAAAAATATGGGAAACCGGAAAAAACGTGGGAAAACGGAAATATCGGTACAATATTAAACAAATACTATCAAAGAAAATATAAAATGCCTATTTAATTAGTTTACCGCACTATAACATATATATATATATATATATATTATTGACAAAGCATCACTATCAACTGAACTACGCTCAGAATCGTTTTTTCGTTAGCAATGTTCTATCGTTGCTTACAGATATTTATTGAATTCCGTTCTGTATCCCAGCTTCCATCTCAACTTCCCACCTACAACAGTGGCTGCGCCTGCCCCCATTATCCTAGGACAGCTTTTTAACATTGTAATTTTAAAATTTCCGGGTGGGGGCGTCTTTCGACGTTTACACCGCCGCGCCGCCGCCAGTCGCCAGCGCCGGAATTTGAATTATTTATTTATGCGACAAAACGTATACGAACAGGTACTTTATATACTTACCGCAAAACACGTCTCACGCGAGCTCGAAGATAAATCGATGCTATTAATTTATGTAGGCTTTGCAGGAACACTACGCTACACATCTGTGACATTTGCGAGGCGTCACGTGTTTAGCGACTAGCTAACTATACAGTACGTGTATGTCTGCTGCATCATTGTAACAGTGTATAACGTATATATAAATAAATATAGTATGTACCTACCGAATACTTTTTAAAACTCCCCCCCCCTGTTTCTAACCGTATGTATTCGCAGTGACAAATAACCACTTGAACAACGGAGCGAATAGCTGTGCTTGAATAACTCAATTACGTAGATAAACACACTATATATTATACAGTCTGTGTAATATAAAGACATTCGCGAGTTTAGTTCTACGCATAGAATCCGAACAGCGTTTATCTATAGGGAATTTTAACGAAATGTTTGAAAAGAAAAATAATACGATATTCTATCAATACCCGCAAAAAATAATTAACTACAAGTAGCCCTTATGACGAGTATTTACCGTGCAATGGTACAGTTTAACACTATCGAAGAATGCAAATTTTCAAAGCTCCGTCACTATAGTCGAATTCCCTAAACAGTACATAAATGATACCGGCCCCACGCTCGTATAAGAAAATCCCATCGTCTTTCTGCAATAACATGGTGAAATCCATACCGAAAATCAACTCGACTACGGCTTCAAAAAAAAAAAAAAACCTATATCTGAGTTTTTTATTCGTCCAGAGGGAACCTCTAGAAATGTCTAAAAGTAGCCAGGAAAATATATAATGTATACATAAATAACAGATACAAAAGTCTCTATTTATGGGAAAACTTGACAAAAAGATAACTCTTATTGTGTATTGCGTTTTTCGATATCAATGTTCGAGTACTACGAAAAGCTTTTCGGGTTCGAATAAAACATCTGAAATTATGAGATATCAAAATAACTTTGTATGTATTTATGATTAAAAAAAAAATAATAATAATAATTATGATAATAAATAAATACAACGGTACACCATGTAGCGAGTTCTCCTTTTTATCACGACAAACAATTTTACGGGCGTCCCACATTCACTCATAATGTGGTGTTTTTTTTTTTTTATTTTTTTTTTTATAAAACATAAAATGACCGGAAATCGTGCACTCAAAGGAAAACATGTTTCGGCAGTCAAAAAGAAAAATGGCCGGCACAGTTTCAACGTGGTATTTTTTTTTTTGCGTCCCGTTATCTAAAAACTGCTGTATACATCAGTGACAACGTAAATTATTCTATTCGATACGGTGGTTTACATTTCGTTTTCCGTCGTGCCCTCCCCGCCCCCCACTAACGGATTTGTTCGACTCTACATAACAGATATATTGCATAAACGGGGTCTATTATTAAAAATCTTTCGCCGCCTACACAATATATTTTTATTTTTTTCTACCCAGCGCACAGGGCAATTTTGATGGAATAATAATATGGTATACCGGTCCGGATATCGACAAGTTTATGGTAAAATATTCTGAATACGCGTATGGGTTTCGTTTGAATAACAAAGAAGAGAGGAAATATCGAATTTTCGAATTTCGTTTGAGAGTTAACATAATTTAAAAAATATTTACCACGATCCGGGTCTGTTCGTCTCTCATAGAGCGATACAATGACCTATATTATTCGTGTATAAAATGTATACAGCTAGTTTACTTGTTTTTTTCTATCAAATACATGTTAATTTTTACTTTTGGTATATATATATAAATATACATACCCGGTATACGTCATTGTTTAACCGTGCGACTCTCGGCGTACTTCAAAGAGATACCAGTTCAAATTTCCGAACCAAATACCAAATATTAAGTTATTGTATTTTCGTGTACGCGAATAATAATATTACCTATCTGAGTTCTTGCAGCGTAAACAATAATTCCCCTTGGACATAATAAAACATCGTTAACTTTAATTGAGAATGTCGATCAGCGTCGGAAGTGGCTGGTAAAGGACGGGCAAACAAATGTTTAATTTCAATCCCAGCCAACAAAATATAGATAAAACCGTGTGCGTGAAAAAACTGAAATTATATTTAAATTCAATCTCTATTAATATTAGTTTTATCGATCTCCTCGCGAATAAAAATATATAATATTTAAATGATTAACAAACGGAACTATTTCGTTGTTTTATAACATAACTGCAGACACCTACAGAAATCTAATGCGAAATCGTGTTTTTATCAAGTCTCGTTTGAGCTCAACACTCCTAAGGATGCGCTGTACCCGGGACTTGAAATGAGTCGCAATTCTGCGTAGTTTGGGTTCACAAAAGAAAAAAAAAAGTTTGCTTTGATGAAAATGATTTTTTTTCGGGAGGCGTTTTGTTTAGAATAATTTCCTAGAGAGGGTATAACACATAATATTCTTAGTAAAATGCTATCACTAGAGACCGGATTTATATTCACTTATATTCCACAAAAAGGCGCTTTAAAACGCCAAGAAAACGTCTTTATAAACATGTAAAAAAGCAAAAATGATAGAGGAGTTTAAAAGTCCCCCTACTAATGACTTATTAATTTAAATTTCATAACACTATAATATTGATTCATATAAAGTAATTTCTTTTAAATATAATTGTACGTATTATAAAATAAAGAGTTGCTTTTTAATAATCATTTTTGTAGTGTTAGAAAATAATATTTATAAATTAAATCTATTAGAGGGGAACATTTAAACCCATCTATTATTTTTGCTTTTTTAAATATTTTTAAGGACTTTTTTGACGTTTTCAAGTGGTTTTTTTTTATGGTTTTTTAAGAGCTTATAAATCCGGTCTCTAACTATCTCGATTATTACCGAATAAATTATTTTTGATGAAATTAAATTTTATTTTATCCCGTGGTATAATATATAATAATATGTTGTTGAATGTAAAATTTGATTTAAAAAATGTAGCGAAGGAAAACATTTCGGGAGGGAGAGTTAACTCCCTACCCCCCCCGTCCTCTTTATACGCCACTGACTCTATATTATTATTTATATAGCTCGTTGTGCAACCAATATTATAAAATTAAGACTTGTTTATTGCAACAGTGGCAGCAGTTCTTACTACAATATTAATAATCACGTTGCGTAATTAATTTATGCGTACACATTTTTTTCACTAAAAATCAAAGTCATTAGTATTCCCAATGGTGAATCCGTAATAATAATAATTATCATTATTATCAAAGTGCTTTTTAGACGAACTACTACGTTATTCACTATATATATTATAATATTATAGCCGGCGCGCCGGATTTATCCGGAAATAAAAATTTACTGTGCAGATAATATTATTTATATTAATAATCCGGTCGTTTAAAAATAATTCTACAGTGTATATACCATGAATATTTTATTCGCGAACACGAAAACTAACTTTAAAATAATTTGTTGTCCTACAACACTTTGTAGCAATATGATGTATGCCGAAACGAAATATCACGATTATTGCGTTTGATCTTCATTATTTTGTATTTAAAAACACTTAATACCGCGTTATTGGACACTATAGATAGATTGATAACGACAATTGCGTATTATGTGTTGAGGAAAAAAAAAAGAAAAAGGCCGATACTGTTGATAGGCATAGAAGGGAAGATGAGTTGGAGAATGTAAAAGTGATTTAATTTATATCCGTACGCAACGATAAACCGTTATTGGCGAAAAACGATTCCGAGCGGATTATTATATTATTATAGTCGCGTTTTCTCCCTTGTTATCGAGGCGACCCAGCAAGCAAAATCAACAAAATCGATACAATAAATTGCCAGTTTTTCCCGTTGTTATGAAGACTACTACTACAAGTAATATTAGTAAACGACCTCCTCAATGCACTAACCTGATCGTAAATGCTACAAGAAAATTCCTATAAAGTTTTTGATTGGTACAAGGATTTTGGTAGAAATCAGCAACAAAAATAAAACACATCACCAATAAAAGCAATACATTTCTCACTTCGTTCAGAATAGAAAACAGTAAAATTCGAATTGATATATTATAATATTTAATCCAATCATTGTGTTTTCAGAATTGTTGACGGTGTACCAATATTTTAGTCGATTATTTAAAAGCTGGACAAAACTCTAGTAATTGCCTTTTTTTTAAATTCAATTTTAAAAACGAATTTTTATTCATTGGATTCTTGATTAGGATATAAACTGCAAATATAAGTGTAATTATTTAACCAGAAATTATAAAAAAATTGATACCTTCTAACTCAATTCCTATACTGGGTTGTCTGGCTTTTCGGTCTAATACGTCATATTTACTCGAAAACATGGCCCTAATACCTGTTTTACTCTAAGATGGGAACTGGACAAAAGAATAGTGAAACATATTTATTATAAATAAGGTGGTCATTAAAATTTTTCATTATTCAAGACAATCCCCTAGCATTATTATAGCATACTAGATCCCAACAAAATATAATCAAAAAAATGTTTCGTATATTGCAGGCTATTGATAGGTAGGTAAGTATTTATCGAATGGATTTATTGTAAATACGGATAAATCGTCCACTCCTTCTCTCCAATACTCTGTTCATTTATGCAAATTTGACTATGGGTTTTCGTTAGAAAATCAAAAGTAGTTAGTGTAGTTTTACCCACTGAAATAAATTTGACAAAAAAAAAAAAATAGTATTATGTATCATTTTAGTGTTACTTAATACTTACTTAAACGTTCTAAAACGCAAATTACGAAAAAAATTTAAGCATTACGAGATAATTAATGTCTTACGTTATGTTAATCACTCTGTATATCGCGGAAAATTAGACGAATCAAAATAGTAGGTACATGAAAATATGTCGACGGTTTGATACAAAAACAGTTTTCATGATCTTGTCTAAGATACATGGTTTTGGTTTTGTTCACGTTATATACATAATATAAGTATGTATAATATAATATAAAAAGAAAAAAAAAATTTAAAAAAAAAACAAACAACTTTGTAAAACCATAAGCTCCTTCGCTCCACTCAGAGTCTAAAAATAGCCTTACAATAACGGAGCACGAATCCCTTTAATAATAATATTACGCGCAGTTCACTGAATAAAATGTATTCTAGTGTAAAATAAAATAGTACAGTTTCAAAAAAAAGTTGAATGTTTTAACATGCTATAATAAAAGCACCGTCATAATATTTTCTGTAATATAATTTTTTAAATAACTGTTCGCTGCGAGGGTGACTCCCGTTACTTATAACAACAACGACGATGGTTCTTTACGATTTTTTTTAAATATTGCGAACTAATTCCAAGACTGCGAAAAACGAGGTTCTCTCATCGCGGAAAACTAACCATATATTACGGGTGTAATTATTGTTTAAATAACTTTCGTAATATAATTGCACGCGAAATAAAAGTATTATTAAATATTATACGCCGCGAGAATATTACGGGCATGATACAAAATCGGTTAATCTCGAAGGTATTTTCGTTTTTTAACGTTTTTTATACTCTTTTTTTTAAATTTTATTTTCTTGTTAATAGCAGAAATTTCCATCGATGCATCGAGAAAAACAAACTAAATCGCGAGTTTCCCTATAAATTTACCGCACGTGAAATCCATTTATTTCGAGTATATTATTTCATTAAGCGTCTGAAAGTCTGACCGCGACACCAGCAATTTTTTATGTCCCCCGTATTTTCCGAAGTACCTCTATTATAGACATTTAAAGAAATTGCACATTGACCACAGTATATACACCCACTGTGGTGGATAATATTTTAGAACAATAATTGTCTAACGACGATTTCACCAAACAATTATTAGGTATTATTATACGAAATTATTAGCTATCTCATACAGAATGATCCTCTCTTATTTTAAGCGAATTCGATTTCCGTTTTTGTATCTAACGTTATTAGTAATGTTCGTTTAAACTCGATTTGAATACTATTTTCGATTTTTTTCTCAGTGTACTTTTTAATAACGAGAATACACATTGGACGTTCAAAAAGTCACCACACACGTTTCGCCCGTTAAAACAAGAATTCGAATAGAAGATATTTTTCGATAAATTTTGATTATACCTACGCACAACACTACACTATCGGATTTACTGTCTATGAGTTATAACAGTATAAATGTTTGGACCGGAGGATTACATAATATTATAGTAATAATGTTGTTATCAACTTGTCATCTACTACAAAGTATATAAAGTTTATTTTCTATCCCCGTTCTTGCGGTCTAAATTTTAAACAACAAGTCGTGACTCATAAATGCGGTAAATCTGATATTATAGTGTTTTGCATATTATCAATACATTTGAGAAAATATTCTCTATAACATGCGAATGTTTGATTGACCTCCTCTCGCTATTTACTATTCGAAAATCAAACTATTATATCAGGTACTTATGAATAGTATGTGTGGGGGGAGATGATTGAAAATTAAAATAAAAACAAATCTTAAACAACTCTGTAATAATGGTTGAAAAAAACCGGAAATAAAATTCACTTGAACTTCTCCGAGAAAACCGCCGGACCATGGCAACCGAATCACCCTGTATACGGATAAGAAACGCATTATATTAATGCGTTTCGAGTTGTATCGGTCGAATAGAGAAAAACGAGTAAGAAACTTTATTCGGATATTTTTATGGCCGAACGAAATAATTTTTATTTAATATTATTTCGGAGAACCGCATTTATGATATCATTATTTTCAAAGACGTTTAGAACAAAAATAAACGAAACTGTAACTATATTATCATTATATACAGTGCGTTTTATAGGTTATGAACATTGGTGATATTAATAAAGTGCGAGAAGAAGAAGTAATAATAATTATATTATAAAAACGTTTTAAGATAAAAATTGACGACTGTTCCGATATTCGATTACTTTAATGCTACAACAAAATATGAAATTCACATTTTTAACGTGTTCACGTATTTTAGATCTTAAGTGTAGCGAATAATGTATTGGTTTTACAAAGATTTTTTTTCTCTTTTTTTTTTTTATATATATATATTAAATTTTCAACCAGAAAATTTACTCTGATGTATACGGTGTAGACCCTTTTCTGAAAGGAAATTTTCCCGGGGTGATATTTTAAGGATATAATTTTTCGATTTTCCCGAGAGTTTTCTAGGGAAAAACGTAGAAAACACAGTAAAATCGGTATAGCACTAGACAAATATTATTAAATAAAATATATAATGCCCATTTAATTATTTTACCGTGATATAGCATATATGTTGTTGACAAAGCATCAATATCAACTGAACTCTGCTTATAATCGTTTTAATAAATTATCGTAACTTACGAATACAAATTAATTTACTCTCCATATCCTACCTTCCCAACTTCTCACCAACAACAATGGGTGCACCCATCGTGCGAAGTATGTACGTATTTTTAATATTCAACGGCGTGTTAAAAATCAATTTTTAATTTTAAAAAAATAACAACAATAATCATAGGTACTTTGTATATTTTATATATTATAATTGCAATTCATTATTGACGTGCCGTATTATTTAATTTAAAAAGGCGGTTTTCAAAACCGAACAGCGCTGAGCCGTAACCACTGGATATCACCCGATTGCGGCCCAAACTGACGTTTTTTCCTTTCTTCATGTTCAAATTACAACTTAAGCAACGTAGGAAGAAAATATTGTTCTTTTATTTTGAATTTATAAAAATAATGCGTTTAAAAATAGACCGTTTACCTTGTAAATCAATATTTTTTTTAACGCATGCATAATATAAAATTTCGTCTAATGATGTCGTTTTTGTGATTTTCTTTGTAGTTTTCTTGATAATAATTGTAGCAAACTGGGAAAATTTACACTAATAACGTTATTTTCGCTAGTTTTTTTTTGAAATTCGCTTAAAACTAACCGTTAAGATTGGGCTTTTTTACGAAATATTACCATATTATAGAAGTGGCAAACGTAAAATATTGATTGTAAAAATCACGGTATTTCAAAACATTTTCAAACGAACTTCGTTCATAATCGTTGTTCGTTAGCAATAGCAGTATCGTTGTGTATAGATATATATTATGCACATCTACGTATCTTACCTACTGATTTTTCGCTATAATAGTGACACACTCATAAGAAGTATCAGCTCTTTTTTTTTTTTACTCGAACAAATTATAACCTATCACAGTTTGCCCGTGCGCAAATGACAGGCGCTCTCTTTCGCCTAATGGTTCGCTATCCACTGCGTCGAATATACCAGTGCGCATGACCTTTTTTCTTTTTGAACTCTAATGTAGTAAGGTTATATGGTCACACGGTTAAGTTATACCAGAGATTCCCAAAGGGGTCTTTAATAAGACGCCCATGGTTCTATTAAGAACTGCAAGGGGTCCATGTTATCGAAAACAAACGTTGGGGGTGCGTAAGATGTAAATAGGTATCGACGAGAGCTATTAAGTAAAAAGCGCGTGCATCGTTATTTTTACTATGAATACGTGTGAAAAAAATGTTCGAGAACCTCTAGTTTATACGGTGCGACGGCGTTTAAAATTATAGAATTTCACGAAAACTTTTCAACCTCACTTATCGGCGCGCGTGTGGTTGAAAGTTATAGTGATTGCAGCGATGGGATCACGTAGACCGGTTCTCTGTTGAGAAAAACAGATAGAAGGGGTTGTAATTCAACATCGTTTACATTGCAATAGTAAAATCGGAACGAATATATTAAAATCAACGATCTTACTATTAAAAGGTAATTAACGAGTTGACGGCTGATTACCGAATTTATTTTACAGTAAAGTCAGATTAATTAACACGTTTAATGAACGGTGGCGCAGTTGGGTAGGTTATACCCGCTACCTACCTGTATACCTATTATAGTTAATATTAGTAAGATTTAATGCGATACGGTTACGACAGGAGTAATTATAAACTACAAAATGTATTACTTTAAACCTGATTATAATAATATAATACGACGTCAAACGTCGAACGTAATCTATTGAACCGCGTAAATTCGATGATATAGGCAGCCGGTGACGTAAATCGGCCGGTGCAAACGCAGCGCTTGCAACGTCGCATTTTAAACGAAATGGATCGAACTTGTCTTGTTACATTCTATTAAAATTTAAATTTAATTCAAATTAAGTAAGTTAAGTAAATTAAATTTAAGTTTAATTTTATTAAATTTCGAAAATGTTAGCGCTTACTACCGGCCCGTAATTTCTATTTACAAAATAAAACGTTTGTTAAATTGGGAAAAAAAATCATGATTTTCGTTATAATATAATTTTATAACAAGACAGCTGCTACCACGTGTGTAACATTGTAGAATATACAGTGCTCGAATTACGGGGAGGGGTTAAACGGGCAAAGCAGGGGACAGAGTACCTCAAATAATTGTTTAAATATTTTAGCGTACCTATAATATTTTTGTTCAAAATTGAACGAATGGGACGGTAAATATTTTGTATTTTTATCAAAATGTATTTCCATTGAAATTTTGACTTTAAGCATTTATAAAAGAATTGACTACATTACGCTAAACATATTTTTCCCATTCTACTCATGATAAACCTTGAATTAAATTTTCGAGCATCTTCGCTAAGCCAAAACAATTTTGATCACAAAACTAAATAAAAATTTAACAATTTCAAAGAATTGCGTATAAAAGTCTATGCCTATACGTATGCTTATGTGTATTCGGTGTAATCTCCGGGCTCTACGATTATTCTTCATTGAATATGATAACAGAAACCGTTATTGTGTAAATATTACAGTGTTCCCAACGTTTTTCTGGTTTTTTTTTTATATATATATACATAAAAATACTCAAAATTCACAATTAGAAACCATCTCCTTTAGAACTGATGATCGAAACCAGATTTTTGTTAGGAAAGTCGTTCGCATCTTCTTCTTCTTATAAAGCATCTTAAAGACCGTTAAGGTCCATTGCTGCAACAATAACGTCCCTCTACTTTTCCCTGTCCCCTGACGCTTCCCTCGCGTTCTCCATCTCAATCATCTTAAATTTGTACATATTTAGACAAAAATAACAAAACCACACATGAAAGTAAAAATCATCGTAGTATATAGAGTCTAAAATAGAATGTATAATATAGGAATTACATAAGTTAGCTTGTATTAGTGTCATAATGGTTTCTTTTTTTCCGGAAATTATTAATCATTAAATTATGTTTAAAAAATAGTGTGCACCCCCCTTCGGGTAAGCCCACTTCGAGTGGGATAAAATTCAAACATTACAAGTGACGCTAATTTTTTCAAAAATCAGAAATCAAAACCGATTTACGTTCACCAATAACAATAATATAGGAAACCGATAACAATAGACGTTCTGAACCAATAGTCTTATTTTTTTTTTATTTTAACCTAACCATTATTCGAATTCGAGTGCTATTTCTTTTTTTCGCGAGTCCCGATTTTAAGATTGCGAAATACGATGGATTTCTTTTTTATCGTTCCCGGAAATTACTCGCAGATTCACGGATCCGTTCGAAATTCGAACGGTTTCCACCAACCGACACCCCCTTCCCCTCGCCGCCGCGAAATAAATCAAACAAATAATTAACAGATACGAAAACAGCAATTCTCGATACGCCGATACAGCGCAGTATCGCTGCGATACTTATTACGATATCTATGCTGCCGGGACTTCAAAAAAAAAAAAACCCTGAGGCCGGATATAATTACCTACATAAAGTCGCTGTATAAACTTTTTACAATTAAAAGTTTTCGAAACTGTATAAGTAATCTTAAATTATATAAACCATCTCGGATATTAAAATTGTTATTATTATATTATAGAAAAGTCGCGGTATTATATTATTATTAGGTCATACTATTATTATTATATATATGGATATCTTCGACTATATTATATCCGTGGCGAATATTATCTTTTCGACAGTAAAACTAACGCGGTTTTTTATACGTTTTGACTAGGCCGCGCTAATTGTCTACATGCTATCAACGTTGCATTTCGTGTGTACCATTATTATTATTATTTTTTAACTCGAACGACTACTACAATAATAACACAATATATTATTAAGTGTTGTTTCTTGTTGACGCCCGTACGCGCTGTTGTTAATACCGTCGTCGTCGTCGTCGTCGAGTGTATACAATCTCATTCCGGACACGAATTTCACTAATTCTTCTTGAAATGCGCAGTGCATTGTTTCGGTAGAACGAGAACTCTTCTGTTTCGTAACGTTATATATATTATTATAAAGAGTCTCAAACAAAACCGCGGATTAAGAGTTCTCGTCTTTAATTTCCATAATGTATTTTCGAGAGAATGTTAATGCGCGATAAAACGAGGACCGCTCGCGATAACGCAATAATAATAATAATAATAATAATAAAATGATATCTAACGGTTTTACTTTTGACATTTTTTAGATATATAATAATATACATATTGTATTAATAAAGAATACAAATATTGTCGGATTCAAAAAAAAACTGCACCCTAGTGCAATAGAACTCTGGCTCGTATAATACGAATTTCCTCGCGTTTATTTCGTATTAAATTAAAGAAACATGAAAACTACGAATACTTTATTAGAACACAGTAATATTATAATACCACTTTCAAAATAAAAAAAAAGAACATATTTAGCACGTGGGTGCAGTCCGCTGTTGTAGGTGGGAAATTGGGAAGTTAGAATTACAGACGGGAATTTAATGTATATCTGTAAGCAACGATAAACCATTGCTAACGAAAAATCTATTCTGAGCGTAAGGGGAGACCGCTAACTTTTTCGTTAAAGCAAAATTAATCCATGGTAGATACATATTAAATTGTCTTGTTACTTATTTGTATATTAATAAAATAATTAAATAACAATAAGTCATTTCTTTAATTATATAAAATAAAATATTAAATCCAAACTAGATTTCCGGATTGTATACGGATAATTAAATGCTCTTTCAAATACAATATCTTTACAATATTTCTTTATAATATTAATTTAAAAACTGTTCCAGTTATCAATTAAATATATAATTAAGATATTATGGGTGAAAGGGAATAAGGAAAAATAATAAATTTACACACTTAATGCTAGCGTAAAATAAATATTCTTATTTGTTTTTTTTTTATTATTTTATTTTTAAACACTTGTTTAACTACAAAAAAAAATGTCCGGAGAAATAATCCATTTAGTCAAGAGTTTTTAACCACGTTTTATTTTCTGTTCAATGATATTGATTTTATAATTATTCTATTGATTTAATTATTATTGAATGAGATCAATACGCATGTACAATGAATTATTCTTTATTTTAAATGAATAATAAATTAAATAAGTAAGAAATTTATTTTCTTTTTCCCGGTAGGTATACGTTGAAATTATATGTGTGTGTATATATATATAGCAAAACAAATGAGGAATAGAGAAAAAAAGGAAATTTCTTAGTGGCTAAATATTGGTACACTCTAACCTGGTCACCAGAATGTGTTGGTTTCGGTTGACGGCTTGGGTTATGCGGTATCTTCCTCCTGAGTCGCCATAATTTCAGTAGATCAATACGTTCAGATGTAACGGAGCGTCTCAGCGTTAATTTAAACTGTTCGTGGTGTTGAGTTGATTGATAAATGATATTAGTTGCTAATACTCCATGAAATTGCGCACTATTTTTCCACTCATCTATTTATTATGTGGGGTTTCGAGGACTATTCCGGCTTGCGCCAGAATATGCGATCGTTATAACTTCCCTCGCAAGGCTATGTCAGAGGAAAGCCGACGAAGGAAATATGGCGAAGTTGCTCTCACGTGTGACCTGCTTATAAAGACCCGCGGGAAAACGCCGGAAATGAGAGGAATGATAATTAGGTAGTGAGAAGCAAAAAGTCGGCATATATGCCCGTGCCAGCGTCGTGGTTAGAGTAGCGCGCCCATTTAAACGCATGTAACGCAAATCAGATTTTAACCCATGGTGATGGGATGCTCTCTATTGGTGTGATTGTTTATTACATGCTGTCACCCTTCGGCAAGTGACGAACAACCATCACTGGTTCGCGACCACTAACCACAGTACAACGACGTAAATTTATCTCGTTACATGTTGCTTTGTTAATAATACAATACATGGTATATATCATATTATGGTAAAATGATCACAAAAATGTGCCCTTCCATGACAACAATGATTTTTTAAAAAATATTAAAATAATAAAAACTTAATAATAACAAAAATAAATAAAAACAGTTATCAATGACAACCTTATTTTAAATCGTTTAATCTTTTTTAATCTAAAAACTGAGGTTTTTCTCCTTATTTCGAATAATAATGAGAAATTCAAAAAATAACCAGTTTAAAGTACCACCAAGGGAATATTTTCTTTCAGAAGAGGTGCTATACTTGATAATCTGAGTAAGCTTTCTAGTAAAAAAAGTGTTCGCATAAAAAAAAAAAATAAATAAACATCATTATAAGACCAATACATTTCTCGCTCAATTCAGAATCTAAAATTTTACAATTTTAACATACACATAAATAGCGTGGTTGAAAGTTGAAACACTTAAAACTTGGCAAATCCTATTATGATATGGTTACCATGGTGATATGGATATAATAAAAAAAAAAGTTATACCGAAAAAACAACAACAATATTCAAATTAATTCGTTTTGGCATAATATGCACCACTAAGTGAGGATAGCTAGTAGTACGAATAATATAATATATCTCTAGGTCAATCAAATCAACGACCGTCGTCACTATACTGATGGGCAAACACAATGGGGATAATAATATACTCAAGGTATATTTTAACGTATATTTAGAAACCCACGCGAATCCCACTCACGATCGCTCGCGAAGACGTGACCAGTCCTTGAAGTTCGACAGAGATTGAAAAGTGAAACACTTTTAACGCGTTTCGCGATCACGTTTTAATTTAAATTTATTATTATTATTATTTTTTTTTTTTATCTAAATCGTCTCGTCCAGTCACGGGAAAAGAAATGAAACGATATGGTGAACGCGAGTCACGGTAGGTGTTTCCCGCCGGACGAACTCAAATAAACGGCACGTGAGACGCAAGTATAGAGATAGGCTTTTGGCTATAGACACTTTGCTCCGCGGACTAATCGTGCGATTCTTCCGCGATAACGGTGTAGCGTTTCCGCCAACCGGACGGCCGTGTTTGTTAGGCGTTCGCTGTTCAGTTTTCGTCAGGTACCAAAAGTCACGATCGTTATTTTCGTGCGTGCGAAATAATACAAATCAGCGGTGTTCTTTTGTTTCCACGATAAATTATGTTACCAATTAACTTTATAGATAATGCGTTTCATACGATCATACGCGTTTATAATTATTAATAACAAGTTAACGAAGGGCTTACATGCTTTGGAAATAATTAACATTTATAAGAAACGCTGAATAATAGCTGCGGATGACACGATAAACGTATATATACTTCACCACCGTGATGCCTTAGTATTGACGTTTCATTACACAAATACCATGCATAACAACCAGCCGTCCAACAGGTTACGATGATCAAAATACGAGGTATTAAATTATGGTTCACCCCGGAATTCGGTGGAATACTAGTATATCGGTAGTATTTACAAAATGAATTTGCTTCCAGTGATTTCAGAAATTTAATTACACCGTATAAATATTTGAAATTACGCTGTTCGGTCACTGATTTTATGCATTATTTAGGTCAACGCAAAATATTTAACGAATTCCATAATTATCTGCATTCGTTTAATATATAAATAACTTGTAATAATAATACTGTTGCTATTATAGTTACCTATGATACAACGCGGATTTTCATCAAATTCCGTAACCTATTTTATGAAGAGTTATTCAAAACCTATCATACATTTATTTAATTCTATAGGATTTAGCTTACCGTGAAACAATTTTATCGAGCCTTTTAGGTTTCATAAATAGTTCATTAAATATGTAAAGGTACATAATAATATTTTGTTAAACGTTTAATACACTGATTTCAATCTACAGTATGTTAATAATTACATTACTTATTTTTTAGACTCTGGGCGGAGTGTATTGATTTAATGATGTTTTTTTTTTTTTATGTGAACACTTTTTCTACCAGAAAGCTTACTCCGATTATCAATTATAGCACCTTTTCCGAAAGGGAATGTTCTCTGGGTGGTACTTTTAAGATAACATTTTTTGAAATTCTCATTAAAAATGTTGAGATAATGAGGAAAACGTGGTTCATTAGGTTAAAAAAGATTGAGAGATTTATATTTTGTTATTTTTAAGTTTTAATTATTATAATATTTTTTAAACAATTATTGTTGTTATGAAAACGCTCATTTTTTTAGTCATATTATCATAATATATCATGTATTATATTGTTGACAAAGCAACACTACCAACCTACCTCCGCTCAGAATCGCTTTTTCATTAGCATTTGTTTATCATTATATCCTATTTTCCCAACTTCCTACCTATAATAGTGGCTGCACCCATGTGCGATATATGTCCGTCCTTTTTTTCAATTTATTTAATAATTAAGTAATTAATTGTATTTATTATTGTTTCGATAAATATTAATCTAACATCACATTGAAAATCAACTTAATAAATATTTATCTACATAACTATACTTGTGTACATATTTAACTGCAAGTAATCTACTCGTAAGTTTTCCTGTACTTGGGCCACGGCGCGTTTTGTAAATAATCGAGGCCTCTTAAAACGTATTGCGCCTGGTTATTTTTTTAGGTTTTCAGCGTCATCGATAATATTGTTTTGAAAACCATAATCGAAAATCGACTTTAAACATTTAGAAGGTATATAATATTTTGTTTATATTGGAGAGTAAACAAAGCGAGTGGAATATAGTAGCCGTCAATAAAACCGTATATTGTAAACATTCACGTTTAGGTTAAGTGCTTAAATCAGTATGGGTCCGTGTATATCCATTTTGATAACACACGAGATTTTAAATTAGATATACAGCGGAAAATTACATACTTATCGTTTATATTAATAAAAACGATTCATCTCTTTCTGTTTAAGCGCCGTACTGATTGCGGTCTAGGACATCTTGGCATGGCCACATTGGTGTAAACCATTTTGGCGTAAAGCTATTTTGGCATGAGACAGGTTTGGCGTAAAGCAGTTTTAGCGTATATTTAACATACAGCAAAATATTAAATATAAACTATAAAATGTAAAATGGTTAACTACAGCTGCGGATTTATTGGTACGATTGTGGATAATTTAATATAATTTGTCGATAAGACTGCGGATGCACAAAGGCTATCCCCCAAATAATCAGTAGTTTTAAATATAATGTGGACATTTATTAAAAACTTAAGAAAGGTGTCAAACGTTCAGTCAGGACGTGATACAATTTTATCAACAAATAGAAACTGAAAATGGTTCGCCAAAAAAAAAAATGCATCCATGTCGATAAAACAATTTTTAAAATTATAGAGTATTACAACCACAATATAATTCGTTTTAAAGGGGCATAGTCCAAAATATAAGTTGCTACTAATAATAATTGCTTTTTATTTATATGAATTACACTTATTTTTAAAAATCAAAAAGTTTGTATTTTGTATGCCAAAACAGTCTCGTGCCAAAATAACTTTACGCCAAAATAGCTGTACGCCAAAACGTCCGGGTCCGTGCTGATCGACAACTAATTGAACTTCGTCAACGGATTCAGGATTAGAGGAAGCAATGTCTTACTTCTAGTGCAGTATAGATTTCTTTAAATACCTAGTCCGCAAGGAAACGACTTTCAAATGTTTAGTTTATAGCGCCCATGTAATAGCGTTACAAAATATTTTGCTAGATTTGGCGCACAAGTCATCAGTTGCCTTACGTCCAACAACATAATAATATTGATTTTTTGAGTTTTGATCATTTATAGATTGGCGGATGTGATTTAAATTCTGATCTGATTATTTTCACCTAAAGTTTGTTAAAAACACTGTGCACGTTTTCACTGTGCATCGCACACTTTTCCTCGCCTGGACTCAATGTAACTTAAGTTTTAAATACTCGGATTTAAATCAAATTAGAACGATTAATTTTATGAAATTTGAAATTTATTAATAATTTCTAAACGCTATCAGCGCTGCGATTCCAATCACGATTTTGCTGATTGTAAATAATACTAATAAACCGATGGCCGGCACAATTTACTGATCTGCCTGGGAATCGTATGCGCCTTTATAATATTGGTTTCAGGCGCAGTTTACATTATATATTTTTAACCCGGGTAATAATTCCTGGCACAGTTAAAAAAAAAAAATAATAAAAATACGGTTTCCGCATATCCGAACCCCTCGGAATCTCCATAATGCATTCGCAGAATTGTGTATTCTCGGTACTCCTGTCGTTTTCCTCGGATCTCCTTGTAATCCTCCTCCAGAAATTAATACAAAGTAAGAACGGCCGTAATATTTCATAAAATGCGATAGTTATTTTTTGAATGAATTTTATTCGCGAGCTATTTCTATGTAAGGTATACATTTTTCATAGTATCATTTATTATGATATGAACGTTTGCATTATGAAATTATTACATTCAAAAATATTATTCTCGTTAAAATACCTTAAATATTTTCGTTCGTGGGCCGCGCATTTATAACAAAAATAAAAAAAATCACGATATTTAATATTATAAATGAATACCTACTT